ATACTCTCATGTTTTCCATTTACATGTGTGAACACGGGCCTCATACTGTCATGTTTTCCATTTACATGTGTGAACACAGGCCTCATACTGCCATGTTTCCCATTTACATGTGTGAACATGGGTCTCATATGTTTATGTTTTTTATATTTTCTCTTTTCATTGGTTACTTCAGGGTTATTTACCTTGTAAATAAATAGTTCTTAGAAACTAAGGTACTTTTTTAATCAATTGTTTAGTTAATTTAGTTAACTGACAGGTGTATTCAGTTATCAAAATTTGTCATATATAGCAGAACTTGAAGTTTTTTCCTAATATTTTCCTGGTATCCTGTCTTGTCATTAGACTATAATGTACAGCCTGCTATCTTAAATTGAAGAAGCGTATTATTGGCTTGTTTTCGGCCAGTCCTCTGGTTCTGCAGCTCATTCTTTCTATCTTCCACAACTAAAACTGCATGCTGAGGATAAGACATGGTCGTTTCCCATGTCCATCCACTTTCACACACTCATCAGTAGCTTTCTGTTTTCCTCGTGTGGCTACTCTGTCATTTTCAAGTGTATACACTCATACAGTTTCTGTGTTTGCTTATCATAATTCTGTTACCGTAATTCCTGAAGAGTTTCTATTACTATCCATGTTACAGCTTTCATAGGTGTTTAGATTTGAATTGTGTTCTACTCTTTCTGTTTTGTCGTTGTCTTATTTCAATTGAGCTGTAACTGATTTCCATCTGCTCTGTTTTCTAAATATAGGCACTGTGAATAGAAATGTTGTGATGTGTTGTAGCTTTTTTATTTATCCGTGAAAAAGAGTTAAAGTCTCTGTATTAAAGATGCACATTATAAATATGACAAATGTTCCTAAGCTTTTCTCCTTATCTCAACTTCTACTCACCAGGAAAAAAGCCCTATAGATGTAAAGAATGTGGCAAAGCCTTTGCTAAGAGCTCGGTCCTTACTTATCACCTGAGAACTCACACTGGAGAGAAACCCTACAAGTGTGACATATGTGGCAAGGCCTTTTCTCTACCCTTCACACTTCATAACCACCAGAAAATTCACACCAGAGAGAAATCTTACAAATGTGAAGTGTGTGGCAAGGCCTTTTCTGTGCCTTCCTCACTTATTCACCACCACAATATTCACACTGGAGAGAAACCTTACAAATGTGAACTGTGTGACAAGGCCTTTTTTACGCCCTCCACACGTACTAACCACCAGAAAATTCACACCGGATGGAAACCCTACGAGTGTGACGTATGTGGCAAAAAGTTTTCCAGTCCTGGAGACTTTGCAAAACACCAAAGAATTCATACGGGAGAGAAACCATACAAGTGTGAAGAGTGTGAAAAACCCTTTAGTAATCTTTCAGACCTTAGTAAACACAAAGTCGTTCACACTGGAGAGAAACGCTTCACCTGTGAGAAATGCGGCAAAGCCTATAGCAGGGCCCATCACCTTCGTCGACACAAGAATGCTCATACTGGACAGAAGTCCTACAAGTGCAACGAATGTGGCAAAATGTTTTACTATTCTTCAGGCCTTAAGAGACATGAGAGAATTCATTCTGAGGAGAGGCCCTATGAGTGTGAGGAATGTGGCAAAGCCTTTCCCAGTCCTTCAGACGTCACTCAACATGCACGAACCCATAAGAGAATGAAGCACTATACCTGTCACAACTGTGGTGACAGCTTTTCTATTCAGACAACATTTTCTAACCTCCAGAAAATTCGTCTGGAGGGAAAACCATCTAAATGTGAGAAATGTCGAAAGGCCTTTTAAAGGTTCTTCATAACTTAAAACACATAAAAGTGTTCAGATATATGCCCTTCCCCCAGCCTTGAGCAGGCCTGAAGGATCTCCTTTACGACAACAGACCAAACAGTAGGACTCAGGAGGTGTTAACCACCTTGGGTACACAGTCTGCTACAGGAGCTGACAAGAATAGACTGCCTGCTGAGCTAGCCTTGAGACACCTCAGGCTTCGATTTGGGATGGATTCCCTTCACCCACACTAGGGGAAGCAAGAAGGGGGTTGGTGGTGGAGGTGGGGTTTCCCCTTTTTATTTGAAAGCTGAACATTAAACTTTGAGCCTTGATAGAGAACTTTGTCTTGGCTTCATCTCTTTTCACCCTCCGTCCCTTCTTTCATTCCGAGCCCCCCTTTTAGGTGAACCCGGTTGTTTCGTGGCTACAGGCGGCTACACAGATAGCTAGCCTGTACATAGGAAGGAGGTGGCAGATGTTTGATGTATCATTCAGCTGTTGCTCAACCACAAACAATTCACACCTGAGAGAAATCCTACACACGTGCAGAAAAAGACCAGGGCATATCAATCCCTCATGTCAATATAAGCATTGGAGAATCCATCTGATGAGGAAGTCTTCAAGAGCAATCAGCGTGACAAGTCCTTTACCTGTTTCACACTGTAAGTATCCAAGAGACTTCATACTACAGAGACACTCTCCATGTACAAACACTGTGCCTAAGCCTTGAATGATGACTCGAGGCTTCATCAACGCTAAAGAATCGACACAGGTGAGAATCCCAGCAGGTGCAGACATCCTTGTTAGCTGTAGACATCCACCTCAGCCCGGCATTTCCTGAGGGACTCTCAACTAGGCATTTGACTACAGATTAGCCTACAGGCATATGTTGGGAGGGGCATTTTCTTGATTGCTAAGTGATGTGCATTAGTCTATCCAAGGGTAAAGAGTGCCATTCAACAGCAGGTAGGTGTTCCTGGGTATACAGAAATCTGGGTGAAGGAGCATAGTCAACTATGTAGCAGACAGGCATAATTCCTCTATGCTGCTTCTCAATTCTCCTAATGTTGTGACCCCTTAATGCAGTTTTTCATCTTGTGGTGACCCTCAACCATAAAATTATTTTCAGTGCTACTTCTAAACTGTAATTTTGATATTGCTATGAATATGTCTTGTATACAGATGATTTTAAGCGACCACTGTGAAAAGTCATTTGACTGCCAAAGGGGTCACAACCCACAGGTTGTTAACAGCTGCTCTATGGTTTCTGTTTCAATTCCTGCTCTGGCTTCCCTGGATGATAGACCTTTAAGCTTTAAACTGAAACAAACCTGTCTTCCTCTAAGTTGTTTGGGATCATGGCATTTGCCATGGGAAGAGAAAGCAAAGTAAGACGGCAATGGACTTGTGAAGGATTTTCACACTTCCTTACACTCCAGTTGTCTCCAGACCTTATACAGGAGAGAGTGTCACAAAGCCTTTAGATTGGTTCAACCAGCTGGGCAATGGTGGCATACACCTTTAATCCCAGCATTTGGTAAGCAGTGGCAAGCGGATTTCTGAGTTCGAGGCCAGCCTGGTCTACAGAGTGAGTTCCAGGATAGCCAGGGCTACACAGAGAAACCCTGTCTCGAAAAACCTAAACAAACCTCCCCAAAAACCCAGAAACTAGACTTGTTCAACCTTCACTGGACACCAGAGCATTCACAATGAAGACAAACCCTATTTATGCAAAGAATATGACAAATGTTTTTATTAAAAAAGATTGTGCTTGATTAAACTCCGAATACCTCAGAATAGAGAGGAACTTTATGACACCAAAGATATTGGAAAACTATTGAACAGTTATTCTAATCTGCAGCATCTATATATAAGAGAAACCCTGCCTCCTTCATTCTTCACACATCAGAGAATTTGTTTTATTATACACACACAGACACACACACACCCCTCCTCTGAAAAGGCCATACTGCTAATCCTTCTTAAGTAGTCAGCCAAAGATTCAAAATACAGGAGCCCCTGGAACCTCTTCTTATGCAGACCACCACGATGGGAGAGAGCAGCCTTCCACCCTGAGCCAGATTGAACTCCTTCTCCTCCAAGTTGCTCTTCCATTTTATCACATCAACTGGAAAAGTTACTAATAAAAATAAGACATGGCATTTGATACATGCGCGTCCGTGTTTTCTGCCTACTTCCTGTTATTTCCCTTCTGCCTCCCTCCTCATCACCCCATTCTCTTTCTAAACCGTTTCCTTTCAACGCACACAGTCATGCACACACGGCGATAGATATAGTATCAATATAGCTTATACAACTTTAATGCAAAAATACACAAAAAGAAAAATGTGCGATGTGTGGTTTGAATTATGTGCGCATTTGTACAATTAGTTACTGTGATGCTTTTGCATTTCAATGGTAATATCTTTCAAATCAGTTTGAATTTATTTTTGTGTAGGATAAGTGAAATAGAACTAATTTTATTCTTCCTTCTGGAAGAATTTGGATATCTAATTTTTCCAGCAGTATTTGTTCAAAAGGCTCTCTATTGTGTCATGTATTTTTGGAAATTTTGTCAAATAGTTTGTGTCCTTTAACTTAGTGTTGTCTCTGTGGGGGCATTTTACATTGCATTATTTACATATCTGTGTTTTTATGACTACCATATAGTCCTTAGCACTATGGTTATGTCGTATAGTGTAGTATAGTATGACATTTTATGTTTGAGGCTGTTAAGTAACATACATTTGACGGTTCTTTCTGCATAAACTGCTTTGCTTATATGTGGCAATTTTTGTTCCCGCATGAGTTATGTGTTTTTCTAGTTCTTTGTCATTGGAATTTTGCTACTGACTGCATTGAATGTATTGATTGCTTTTATTACTCTAGGTGTTTTTACAAAATGAGCTCTGCAAATCCCAGAACGTGTCTTTCTGTCTTATAATGTCTTCCTATAAGTGATGCTTTTTGATATTTTCAAATTTTGTTTATAGAAGCCCTTCACTTCTTTGGTTAGGGTTATTCCTGGATGTCTCCTTTAAACAACTTTTTAAAACTAGATGCTATTTTTCCTAAGTACTTTCTCTGCAAGTATCTTGTTAGCGTATACAGAGGCTCATGATATTCTATGGTCTACAGAGTGAGTTCCAGGACAGCCAGGGCTATACAGAGAAACCCTGTCTCAAAAAAACAATAACAACAAAAAATTAGAGTACAATATTGGAAAAGTAGAATTATTAGGGGCCCTGGTCTCATTCCAGAGTTTTCATTTCTCTCCATATGATGAAAGTTGCCCACAGTTTTGTCCACAGCTTTTATTATAATGACAGATGCTTCTCCCGTTCCATCCAGGCCTTCATCGAGACTTAAGAATACATTGGAAGTTTACCCAATGACTTTTCCACATGAGATGATTATGTGATTTCCGTTTGTCTATTTTATGGTGCATTATGTATTGATTTACATATATTGAGCCAACCTTCCATCATGGGGATGAAGCTAGCTTGGTCATGATGTGAGATCAAAGTTTGACTATAGTTAATTTTCTTTAAGAAAATCTATATTTATTAGGGCTATTTGGTGTGTGTGCGTCTGTGTGTGTGCGAGCATGCATGTGTGTGTGCATGTGTGTGTGTGTGTGCGCCAAAGACAGACAACAGACAAAGACATCTAGGAGTCAAAAAGAAACTCAGGACGTCTTCTACGTCTTCTGACTTTTATCTTGTTCCTAGGAGAGCTCTGAAACAGCCTTTCCATTCTTTTTTGTTGACATAGCTCAGAGAGAGGACAACTGTTTTTCTGGAACCTTTTCTTTCTCATATTCAAGATCTAACTTTTCATCTTGTTCTTCAGGAGATGTAGCAGGCAGCTATTGTAACACCTCAGTGCCCTGCTTTCTAGTTTTATAATTCCTTCTAACCTTACTCTTCTCGCCTGAAGCAGCTTTTAGGCTGTGGCAAATGCCTGATTGAAATTCTCCTGTCCCAAATTGTTGTCACCTCTTAGGCGAAATAGGCGTCGGGTCAAAAACCTGATCGACCTAGATATACCGTACCCCTCTAAACACACTTCCTGTAAACAGGGCCTCCAAAAATTAGTTACCACTAGCGCTAGTATAAATGTCGTTTGCTCTTTACCAAGTGTGCGGGATACTCTCCTTCTTTTTCCGTTTTCCGTGAGGCCTCACCAAGACAGCTGTTCGTCTGTTGCTCTCTCGTTTTTTTTACTGGCCCCACGTTGGGCACCAATCTGTAGCCGCCTGTGGCCACGAGTTGAACGGGTTCACCTGGAAAGAGGGCTGGGAACAAAAGGGGGACAACGGAGAGCAAGAAAAGATGAAGCCAAGACAAAGTTCTCTGATCAAGGCTCAATGGTTTAATGTTAAGTTTTCAATTTAAAGGGGAAGACCCCGCCCGAACCCTTCCTAGTTTCAGCAGGCAGAGTTGGGTGGGATAATCCGTTCTTGGTCACAGGTCACGGCCAGAGATGTCTCAAGGCAAGCCCAGGGGCAGTTCTTTCAAGTTCCTGTAGCAGGATCTACGAGCAGCCAAGGTGGGTGACTCCACCTAGGTGTCTATTGATATGCAGCCAAGGTGGTTAGTTCCACCTAGGTCCTATTATCTGGTCTCTTGTGTTAAACAAGGTCTCCAGCCTGCTCAAGGCTGGAGGAAGGACACATGTGTGTATGTGTGTGTGTGTGTGTCTACTTTTGATATTAGAGTTACAGTGTCTCTTAGAATGTGTTTGGTAGTGTGCATCTTTTTCTATTTTTGGAAGGATTTGAAATGTGTTAATATTTGATTTTTTTTTGTTTTAGAAATAAAAGTAATTTTTTTTTAATAAAAAAATGTTAAAATTTTCTAAGGTGAGTAGAATTTTATAGTGAATCTGTCAGGCTCGGCATTATGATGAGACTTTTGATGATTGTTTCTGTCTTCTTAGTGTTGTGGGTCAGTGTTTTTGTTTTGGGGGGATGTTTATTTGTTTTTAAATTTGAGACCTCTGCT